GATTCCTACATCAAAGCATTGGAGAAGACCTGGGTCAGGCACTTCGGGCCGCCTCGCATCCTCATCACGGACGAGGGACGTCCTTGGCTTGGAGGACCCTTCGAAAACTGGACCAGTGCACTTGGCATTGATCATCAAGTGGCCCCTGGTGAAGCTCATGAACGATTGGCTTTGGTCGAAAGGAGACACGCCGTCATCCGCAGAGCCTGTGAGGTCTACATGACCGATCGCAAGTTGACCGACCACCACGGCATCAAAGAGTCCCTGAACTATGTCATCCCGCAACAGAATGCCACTCCATCAGTGGCTGGCTTCACCCCGAGTCAATGGGTACTTGGCTATCAGCCAGAGCTGTCACACCTCCTCGACTCCAACCTCAACGCTGCTCAGCTCGCCGGCAACAATCACTCCTTCGAGCAGAACTTGGAGCGTCGAACTGCCGCCAAACTGGCACTGACCAGTGCCGATGCAGACTCCAAGCTTCGTCGAGCTCTGAGCAGAAAGTACCAGGGTCAGAATCGTGTCTTCCGCCTGGGCGAACGCGTGTGGTTCTGGCGAGATGCCCGACAAGGAGCATTGAACAAGATTCGATGGCTTGGTCCTGCACATGTTGTGCTTCGTGAAGAAGATCCCGAGGCCACCACTGATGCCGCCAAGATCAAGACCTACTGGTTGGCATACAAGAGTCAATTGGTTCGTGCTGCACCTCACCATGTCCGTGGCGACATCCTTGGTCCTCAACATGTCCTGGACGACATGCAAGCCGCCTTGAACACCGTCAGGCAGCTCAAGTCTCGCGGAGTCACCCGCTACTATGATCTCCGTAGATCCAACCGTCAACAGCTGGATGATGTGGAGGAAGATGAACAGCAAGATGATCTCAATGGACCTCTTCACGATGAAGATGATGAACCACCACGACACCGGCTACGACTTGAGATCCCGGACAACAATGGTCCGAGCACACACGCTGAAGAGCCACTGGCACCAGAAATTGAAGCTGAGGATTACACTCCTACTTCACCCGCTGACTCCGGGTATGCACCGACATCACCTCAGCAAACGCCAGCAGTGCCAAGGCCACCAGAGATGCCCCAGGCACCTCAAGCACTAACAGCACCCCTGTCTCCCGGAGCCGTCACCACCAGATCTCGCTCTAGAGCCCCAACGATTGTCGAGCCAAGCGAGGAACCTACGATTCCCTCTGGACGACAGTCTCCAATGGCCGAACCGGCACCTGAGACCCCGGCTCCAATTCCAAGACCAACCTTGGACCCCGACACGGCATCCCTCTATGAGACAGTTGATGCTGAGACCTTCAACCAGAGAAGAGACAGGTTCAACCGACAAGAAACCTTGTCCTTCCGTCCAGTTCGACACCAGCGAACACCAGGTCCACAACCTTATGATCCTGATCCACCACCTCGAACGGACACAGCAACATCGCCTATTGGCGAAGCAGCAACTGCTGAGAGAGATCCCGAAATCACAGCTGCAGAACGAGCACCAGAGCATGCCCTCCTGAACCACGCCTTTCAGGTCAATGAGCTCGAAGCCCAAGGCCTACCTCAAGGCTGGCTGTTCCAGGATGGCTACTTCATCTTGGACAAGCGTCCCCGAGACTTCTGGGAGATCAAAGCTGGATGCATGATCAGGCATCATCTAGTACCACGACGCCACAAGCTTTGTCTTCACGATCTTCCCAAAGATGCTCCATACAGCCAAAACCAACTGGACAACATCCGGGTGACAGTGATGTACGACCGCAATGGCAGGAGCATTCAACAGACAGATGATGGCTCAGACAGCACGCCTTCTGAACGTGCATGGACTGGACTCACCATCTACCAGATCAAGGGTGACCTTCGGCGTGAACTGGCTATGTATGTCAAAGCACCTCTTCAAGGAGCGCGTCAATTGGGCAAGCTGGCTAAGCAACAGCACACCAAGACCTTCAAGAAGGACAAGAACAAAAGCAACTTGTCGGAGCGCCACATGACTCCAGACGACAGAGCACAGTTCAAAGCCGCCAAGGTCAAAGAACTTCAGAGCTTCTTCGACAACCAGGTCTGGCAGTTTGAGACCACTCGTGAAGCTGAGCCGAGCCGCACCTTGACAAGTCGGATGCTGCTGAAATGGTCCAAGCATCCCGATGGCTCTCCACGAGCCAAGGCTCGCCTGATCGTCAGAGGATTCCAAGATCCTGACGCCTGGGAAGGCACCGTGCCTACCTCATCTCCGACCACTACCAGACTATCGAGGTCTATGCTTCTCAGCCTGGCTGCAACTATGTCATGGCCTATCTGGACCTCAGACATTGCCACGGCCTTTCTTCAGGGCAAGCCACAGACCCGGAAGCTGTGGGTACAACTTCCCAACGAATGCCTGGAGCTTTTGGGAGCCTCGCCTGAGACGAGAATGCTCTTGTTGAAGCCGTGCTACGGCCAGATTGATGCACCTCGAGCCTGGTACATGGCTGCAGTCGACAAGTTGAAGGGCATGGGATTGAAACAACACCCCTTGGACCCTTGCTGCTTTTTGATGTACGAGGGCGACCTCAACCCTGAGTATGATGCCACTGCCACCAATGAGAACCTGCTTGGAGCCCACGGCCTGTGCGGCCTTGTGATCATGCATGTTGATGACATGTTGGGCTGCGGTTCACCTACGTCCACTTGCTACGCGGAAACCATCGCAAAGCTCAAGAACTCGTTTTCCTTCCGGGAGTGGAAGACTGGTGATGATGGAAAGCCCCTCACGTACTGTGGCTGCGACATCCACATCGACTCCAGCGGCAGCTACAAGCTCAGCCAAACTAACTATATGAGCAAGGTCAAGCCCATCACCTTTGACCGAAAACGAGATCTCACGGATGCATTGAACCAGCGTGAACTCACGCAACTGCGTGGTTTGCTGGGATCCTTGCAGTGGCCAGCTGTCCAATCAAGTCCTCACCTACAGAGCAGCACCTCCCTGTTGAGCGGACATGTCACAAAAGCTTGCTTGCAAACAGTGTCCGACACCAACCGCTTGCTGCGCTTTGCCAAGGAGCATGCCGATGTTGGCCTCCACTACGAGCACCTTGGAACAGTTGATGAGTTGAGCATGGTATGTTTCTTTGATGCTGCATTCGCTGCTCGAAGCGATGGAGCGTCTCAAGCTGGCTACATCATCCTGCTCCTCAACAAGAAACTGTTGGCTACAGATGGTCCTGAGGGGGGCCTACCACGTGTTGGACTGGCGTTCGATGAAGACGCCACGGGTCGCAAGATCCTCCCTGGCTGCCGAAGCTCAGAGTGGTGGGCAAGCATGTGATGCTTTGGAGCATGCTAGCATCTACTGGAGCCTACTTGTAGATCCACAACAAGGTCTGAAGCGGACCCTCGATGCTCCTTCGATGCTGTCCCCGGTGATGATCACCGATGCAAAAGCATTGTTCGACTCCTACCACAGAGAGGGAGTTTCCAGCTCGGTAGTCGACAAGAGAGTCTCCCTGGAGATCAAGGTCATGAAGGACAGGCTGACATCCTTGGGTGGCACCTTGAGGTGGATGTCATCGGAGAGGCAGTTTGCAGATGGCCTCACCAAAGAGTCAGCTCGCCTGTTGTTAGCTCAACGTCTTCGGCATGGTCGCTTGAAGTTGGTGTGGGACCCAACCTACAAGGCCGCCAAGAAAAAGACGAAAGATGAGCTGCTTCAGAGTCGCATGGAAAGTGTTCATGAACATGTTCAACCACCTGTCGCCCCAACAGCAGAGAACGAAGATTCAGAGCACACTCCAGCTGGCAACAAGCATGCCATCGAGGAGATTGAAATGGATGAGCCCGTGTCCTGGTATGAGCAGGCCACTCCGAATGTCCTCATGGCAAAGACCGACGACCAGCTGACCTATGTGTACCGTAGGTCCTGCCATGTCGCCTGCCGCCGCATGGACAAGGCCTACACCTGCCGCTCGAAGAACTTCATTTGTTGGTTGTGGTTGATTTTCTTGATGCCCCTCCTGGCCTCCGGACATGAAGTTGAAATGGAAAAGAAGGGAGAAACTGATGTTTTTGGCATTGCACTTTGCACCTTTTTCTGCATGGTCTTGAGCTTTGTTTACTTCATGGGACGATGGTCCAAAGAAGTGCGCTCACCTCCACACCTTACAACAGCCGATGCAGAAGTCCAGAAAGACGAGCCCGTGGTGCACAGTCGACTACGGGAAGAGCTTGCAAAAGCCAAGGAAGAAGCTGCACTTTGGCGCGAGCGCGCTGTTGAATATCGTAGCTCTGCCTTCGAGAGTCGAGCATCCATCGACCTGATCATGGCCGAACAACATGGCACCGAAAGCCTGCTGAGTGAAGCCTCCAACCTCCTGAGACAAGCACTTCGGCAGATGGATGAGCATTCGAACGAATGCCCCTTTTACCAGCAGATCTGGGTCACAAGACATGGCTACCGCTGGCACAAGACCCGACACTGCGCAACCCTCGAAGGAAGAAGCACCCAGAACCAGCAGCTAATTCCTGCCTGCAACTTGTGTAGCTTGCGCATCCTTCCGCCTGATTTGGTGGAACAGAACCTTGGTGCATCGTTACGAACCTTGGTTCTGGCTTGGCTCGACCGGCTCGAAAGTCGATAACGCTCCTCCTGTGTAAAGTGCACGCTGAGCACTTGAGTTGAGCATGGTCGGTCGAGCTGTTTTCCTTTGCACCGCAACTCGATCCACTCAAGATGGGTGGGCATTGCCTGCGAAAAAGGCACGGCCGTGGGACGCGTTGCGTTCCGTCTTGTTTCGCCTGTCCCGGACTTCGTGCGCCGGGCCCGCTACTTTCACAAGGCCAAAAATGTACATACAGTACATTCTCTTGCTTTCCCTCTTCCGGGTTTGTGGCTCTCTGTCAATTTGCATGCGACAACAAGTTCATGCACCACAGCACCAGCGCACTTAGCACTGGAGTCCTTCAGCTCATCCAGCCAGGTATCAATCCACTGAAAGGCTTCAGAGAATAGCCGGCCTCGGCACATAAACAAAAAAGCTTTTGAACTGCTGTTGGTTGATTTCTCACAGAACTGCAACTGACAAAACAAGCAAACCAGGCAGCTGCGGCAAGACTTTTTGAAGCTATGAAATGTCTCGCACAGCCCAAATCCTCTGCTTCACTAGGCCAACTAACCATGAAGGACTCTCAACCATGGCAGGGGGCATGTTCTCGTTCAGTCTTCATCACTCCAGTCATCGAACGGCGCATATATAGCCGGCCGGCGGCGATTTTCAAGTAGCCTGGTCCTCCAGGTGTTCGCCATTTCGTCAAATCCCTTGAAAGCAGCCATAGCAGCCATGCAGTGCCATACACCCAGCGCCAATCACAAGTAGGCCTCTTCATTTCCCGTGCCTCAGAGGTAGCCGCCTCCACCAAGCGTTGACCTATTGAACTCTATGCAGTTGTCAGTGTCCACATGATCTTGCCGAGAGCTCTCAACGATATGGGCTCCTCATCCTTGGCAGACAGTGGGGACTTGACAACAACTCTCATGAATCAAGAATGGTAGTGTTTAGCACTATCACATTGTCATTTACCCAAGCTGTCTGCTCAATGCTCTCTGCTCAGGTCCACGAGCATTTCCTGTTTGCACTCACAAAGATTGAATGAGCTGAACATTTGGATAGCTGATACCAGCACACAGCAGCACACAGCAACACTGGTAGACAGCCTGCTCTTGGATCTATGCTCAGTGAAGCAAATTCTGTGCTATGTGCTTTCAGCAGCAGCTCCATCAGGTATGCCTCTTTCTGAGCAAGTCCTGGAGACAAGAAGCTTCAACCAAAGAGTCTTTGGTTGAAAGCAGCATTAAACTGGTCAAGCTCCCCCACAACTTGCCCGGTTTTGAGGGTTCCTTCAAGCTGTAACCAGTCGTAGAAGGGCACATGCGCCACGCGGATTCCTCTGATGCTTCTTGTTACTACTAGTAAGGCACTTGTTACTAGAAGCGATGCACTTGTTACTAGTAGCTTCTTGTTACTACTAGTAAGGCACCTGTTACTACTAGTAAGGCACTTGTTTCTACTAGCTTCTTGTTACTACTAGTAAGGCACTTGTTACTACTAGTAAGGCACCTGTTACTACTAGCGTAGCAAGGCAAGTTTTGAAATTCCGTCTCCCACTGGAAGTGATTCGCTTTGCGCTTCTCTGACTGCTTCTCTTTTCAGAAGCGTAGATGTCAAACTTACCGTACACTTGCAAACCTCATGTTGTATGGTCTGGATGCATTGGATGCATTGGGCAGATAGGTTTGCACACTCACTCTTGCTGAATGCGAGTAGTCAAAACGTCCATATGTCCTTTGAACAATGATCTGAACTTCAAGGCTCTGCATAAGAACAGGTGAGCCCTTGTTGCGTGCACGTGAAAACAACGCCAGGACTCGCATAGCAGACAGCAAGCGGTGCCGCAACTTGGATGTAGACGTCCAGTGCCAAGGGCGTCCATGAGGCCTCAGAGTCCGCACTGTAAGGCCAACAACCGACCAAATACCAACAACTACTGTAGGGGCTTGGTTTGAGGTGTGAGTCAATCTGAGGTGTCAAATGTCAAAGCCGCCTGTAGAAATGACTCGGCCCATCGGCCTTCCAGGCAAGGATGGCGCAGTACATGCAGCACAGGCAGCGCCTTCTTGCACTCATGCCGAATTGTGAACTTTGTGCCTCAACTGCCACACAAAATCTTGCCAGCGAACGGCCAGGCTTGGATTCATCCCATCCATCTGGTTCCTCCATGCTTTTTTGCACAGCCGCATGTTCTTTCTAAGTTGACATTTAAACTCCGTCCTCATATCCATCTCTGCTCACAGCAGCAAAATCCAATAAATACCTGAGAGAAATAAAGAACGGTGTGCAAGAGTCAACAGTTCGGGTCGCTTCGCAGTTTCCCATAGTAGCTTTGGTGTTTTTGTTTTGCCCCTGTCAAGCCGCGGTCCCACTTCGACTTCAGCTTGATGATGCCATGAGATGTTCTTCGCCACGTTGGAGACCTCCTCTGCAAATGCAGACTCGCCCCGTGGTTCTGGGATGCCAGAAGCTCCCCGCACACTGAAGAGCCATCGAGCAGCAAGGCCACCAAGATCTTTCAATGTCACAGAGGTGTGCCCCAAACCTCAATGACACAGTTGCTTTGTCAGTGTTGAAGCTTTGAGCAGCTTTCTTGCTTGCTGCCATGTGTTCAAAATATGTCCACCTCTTCTGCGCTCTTGAGCAAGTGACGCACTGCCATTTCGAAGGTCTTGAGTTGATAAAGCGCCTCTTGAGGAACTTTATTGGATCGCAGGAGCTCCTCGACAAAAATGTGAAGGTTCGATCGTGCTGGCCAAGGCTGGTGGTCAAAACAAATGTCTCCTGAACAAGCCTTCGTTGAAGCTCTTTCTCCGACACGGCAAAGTAGCCTTTGGAAAGAACTTCACTGGCGGGGAAATAAATGCAAAGTAGTCTCTTCAGTTTGAGGACTCTTGCAGGTTGGCCATCCTGAGCTTCCATCAAGTCACTCAGAGCGAGCAACAAGTTGGCTGCAGTCTTGCCAGACAAAATATCCACCTGAGTTCAACGTGTATGCCTCCGGAATACGCTGAAGTACAGTAATTAGGAGCCGGGAATAGCAGCACAAATGCAAAAAAGACACGTGAGAATGTCCAACTCCATTTTGCACCAAAATCTTGTGCAACCTGGCTCCACATCTTTATGCTGCGATGCGTGCACCTGCTCACTGCACTGTTGTTCAATAACGTCTATTTGGCCGCAACAAGCCCCAATGGTCTTGGTTGCCTTCTAATTAGTCACAGAAACATCTGCCACAATCCACATAGTTATACTTTACGTAATGGTACTCCTGAACATCACTGTACAAAACCCCAATTGGCAAGCTGAGCCGAGGAAAGAAGCAATCAGAAACAATCACAGAAAACAAGAGGATCTATTCATAATGGAGTGACACCCACTCAGACTCTCAGACATGAGACGCCCAACGTGTTATGCTGTTTCGTTGTCAAAGAGTACCGTGCACACCCTTCACATATAGCACATGCACGTAGCACCCGTGATCGTGCCTGGAGCACACTGCATTGGCAAGATTTTCATCCCATATGTCGAGTCTGTAGAGCCTATAGTTGCTTGGTGACAAAACCTCATCTCCACAAGTGAAGACTAAAACCATGTCGCCAAGAGGCTCGTAGATAATCCCCCCCAGTGATTCCACTCCCAGGCCGTCTAACACGGAAGCTGAGAAGCTCCTCATTGCACAGCCCTTTCCTCTGAGAAGCTTCTTTACATGAAAGTACGGCCATGGCGGCCGTGATCGGTCTATGCTCATGGCATGTGCTAGCATCAGGCAGGGTACTCCAGCAAGGGTGACAGAACAGCTGGCGAACGCCACCGCAGACGCCCGAATGCTTGCAGTAGCCTGAGACGATCCTCTACAGGGAACCTCAGGGAAGCCAAGTGCATCATGAGATCGAACTGATTCAAGCCTCTTTGCCAGCAATCTTCCTTTGTTGTGCTGATGAAACACCATAGACTTGCGCTAAGTGTAGTGCTGACCGCAGTCACGTTGAGACAGCACTGTGTCCAGTGCTGCGGCAAGGCGATGCGGAAACATGTTCAGAGCACCAAGATGACTGCAAAGCTGAACCAACGACTTGTTTGGCAGCATCGCTGTCCCTGATCGGATGGACATTTCACGAAAGTCCACAGGTGTGAGGTCTGATATGAAAGGATCAGCACTGCTCATATCGACCCCTGGCCCTAGGGCCTAGCCAAGTTCAAGAGCCAAGGGTCTTGGCTCCAATCGGTCTGCCAGAGCTCGAGTCATCATGTGCAATTTTCCACCCAACTGGCCAGAAGCGCCAATTAGATCAATCATGTCTTGAGAGCTCAAGGCAATCTCCTCACAAAAGAGCCATCAGTCCAATCAAGGTGTGCGACAGTTTTGCATCTCGTGTCAGCTTCAGATGTCTGGTTCGAAAAAATATTGTCATGTGTACAAAAGCATTGTCATCAGGTGTCAAGGCCCGGCTCCTCCTCTGTAACGCCAACCCGATGGCCTATTGCAGATGCGAGCCTGGATACAAAACCACTACCAGTGTCGTCCATGGTCACCAGTCAAACAACGTGCCTCACTTGTGGTTCCCCAAGTTGTGCAGCATCCTTTGCTAATGCAACAACCTGACATAGAATCAGGGCGAGGGTTTGTCCTGTATCGTTTAAGTGTTGTTACAGTGCGTGTCGTCGAACAAAGCTTGGAACCAAAGCAGACCGAGCAGACCTGCACATCTCGCAGCAGCACCCTCAAGCGGCACCCAGCCCCCAGTTCTCAGGTTCCAAAGTACGCACGCACAAGCACCTCTTCCTATACCGGAAGAAAGAACGCCAATAACGCTAGCTATTTGATGAAAAACAAGAGGAGGGCACAGCTGCAATGCTGGAGGACACAAGGAGCACGATCAAGGTCCTTCCTGCACGCTTCAGGTTCACTGCAGGATTGCACCCCCATTGTATCCATTTCGCAGAGCCTGCGTTCAAACTCCTAGATGATATCCGGCGGCGCGACTGTTGCAACCGCCCATCACTGACAGTGAACAATTTGAGAACTGCATGAGCGGCTTGAGCGTGCTCAAATCAAAAAAGATCTAGAAACCAAAAAGGTTTCTTCAAGCCCTCAGGCTAGTAAGGACAAAGTCCAAAAGATTTGCCACGTTGACAAAAGCTAGAGTCTTACGTGCTGTCCTTTGGCTTATTTACAGAGGTGGCATACTTAAGGCTCAAGACACATCCGACCAAGCGTGCACCAAGCCTCTGGCAATCCAAGCAGATCAAGCTCCTCTGCCAATTTCCCTCCCACTTCTCCTCAGGTGAACGCCATGGCAAAGTCAAATTTGCCAAGAAACATCAGAACCTCTAAAGACTTCCCAATCAATTAGCCGAGTCAACTCTCCAAATCTAGGGGTCAAGGCCTGACCCATATCCACCTGTCCGAAGATCCTTCTGTGCACTGATGAAATTCTGGATCATGAGCGTTTGCGGAAAGGCGAAGCGCGACGGGGAGGCGAAAGGGTTGAAAGAAAGGACCTGTTGCCATTGCCATCTTTGCCATGTACCAAGTAAAAGTACCAAACGTTGTAGATCATATACAATCGCATGCAGGGAGCCCGCCCAGACAGTGTGACTTTTGCCAAGCTACTGAGCATATGCCCCCATTTGGCATTTGCGTCGCATCTTCTCTTCCAGCGAGCACAGGCTGCAAGAATCTTGGGAAACGAAAGAGAACTAGAACAGCCACAGTCTCAAAACCTACGCGCAACACAACAGTCTCTTTGGCTAGAGAACCCATTCTTGTGGCTCGCACTGCTCGAGACTCTCAGGACCAAGCACGTGCCATGAGAGCACCATCCAAGCTCTCTGAGGCAAGGAGGCGACAAATACGGTCAGCAAAGACAGACCAAAACCTAAAAAAGAATCAAAGTAAAGCAAAGCAAAAACACGCGTTCTCAATTGCACTCAGCTCTATTAACCATGCTTTGTATCAGTCACTTCTCTCCAAGAGTCAAGCTTCCTGGTTAAAATATCAGTCACAAGCTAAGGAGGGCTCTCAGCAGCTGGACGACAATTGCCTGCCAAGATGTCACCAGTCTTTCTTCCCAAGCAAATGTTTTCTCTGCTAAACCTCTACCTGGTCAGCGGCAGATATGAATGAGGTCTTCTTTGGTGTGCCATGACTCACAATCTCCTTCAGCAAATACAGTACTGTATTGTTTGTCTTGTGCAATGTTCCAAGAGTGAAAGCTTCAATTCCAAAAGCCCGCACTTCACGGTGTCTTGGGCTCTGAGACCCTGTTTCCATGTACGTGACAGTTCAGTGCCAAAATGTAAGTGGATTACAGATCATAAAATCACGAAATGTATATCCGCCGACCCCACACCGTGGGGTGAGGCATGACTGTCGACGTTAGCCTTAGCCTTAAGCCTTAGCCTTAGCCTTAGCCTTAGACCTTAGACCTAGTCCTTAGCCTTAGACCTAGACCTTACCTCCCCTACCCCTCCGGACCCTTGTTGGAGTGACGAAATCCGGTCGAATTTCGCCAGGAAAGCGACCTGGATTGTCCAAGAATCTGCCATCCCAATTGATTTACATCTTGGGGCACCCTCT